TCCTAAATTGACTACGAGTAATGTTCTTATTTTTAAATGAGTCGACTGAATTCAGCATTCAATACCAGTGATCGTAGAACAAAAACAAGAGAATCTCCCACATTTAAAAATCACGGCTATCCATAAACAGGTGCATTTTTCCTTCTACATTGAGAAGTGCTCCGAAGAACTCGAAGAACAAAAGACGCGAAGTTTAAAGTTGCATCAAACGTATAACCTTATTTGCTTCCGTTCCGATGAACTTTTCCACATCCGCAAAATTTTAGAGAAATAGGTGCTAATCATCGGAACCTTTGAACAGGGCTTCCAAATGACATTCTTCACCAGAAGTACGAATGCTGTGCGTACTAGTACACCCTAGAACTATGCTGGCACACTTACAGGCATTTTGTGGCGTCTCGCACACGTCGTGACAGTTCAAGGGCATGACATCACAGGTGTGGGGTGGATTTGATCAACAGTAGCCAGGTAATTAACCGCGGATTTGTATAAAAAACTTGTGTTTCAGGCGTCGTTTAGAAAAAAAAAGAAACAGACGTTATTTCCGTCCCCTCGGTGCCGTTAATTAAAAGGATTCGCTGGCAAGAAGGAGTGACCACGTGGGAGGTGATACAATCGATGGCTCGACATTTCAGTCGGGGCCGGAAATCACCACCATCTCAATCACTCACTTTTCTTTTTGAAAATCTGTGCCTTGAGCCGAAAAAAAAGCCGGGATTTTCGCTCACGAGTCGGGAAAACAATCGCTGACGAAACTAGACCGCGGACCACCGGCAGGGTGACATGGCCGAGGAGATAGCGAACTAATTGGACGAAAAAGAGTTTAATGACTTTCCCCCGTCGCCTAAACGCGTCCTTTTAGGTTACGTGAAATGATTTTAATTACCCTTAACTACTCGCCTCTTCCCCGGTCCGTTCCATAGGTCACAGCCAATTAAGACCACAAACTCTTCCGTCGGAACCCGGCAATGTTCCCAAACCATGGTTGAAGAATTCCCAACACACGCCTTCGTTTGTTTTCCTTTTGAAACAGTCGAGCGCATTTTGCACATGTTATAGAGACGATGTTACAGAATTTTTTCAGAAGAGTGAAATTAACTTCGTGAAGTGATTATGTATTGGATTCTGAATCCCACAAACCAATGCAAGACAATAAATAAATACCAGCTCAAAAAATTCTTCTCAATTTTCGGGGAATTTCTCTGAAAATCGGAAGGAGTCCAGTTTCGGGCAACATTCTCTTCACCAACAGAAATCTAATGGAAAATTTTACGCTCGTCTTCTCTAGCGCAAAAAATTGCACGGATCGAATCTGCTTTTTGTTGCGAAGTGACCTTCAAATCTGTGACATGTTAATCCAAAAGGGTTTCATAATACTGTACAGTATTTGGTAACACCCAGACTAGTCTCTTGTCTCAAATACAGAACGATTTTAGGAGTTGGAAGTAGTTTTTTTTCCTGTGGACACAATTCTTTCTCTCGTCTTTTTTCAAATTTAATAACGACGAAGAAAAATTGAAACAGCGGTCAAGACATGATCAAATACCGTATTTTTATGACACTATACACGGCAAGTCGATTTCCAACAATTCGACTATCCAACGAGTGAGGCGTGAATCCGAAAAAAAAATCTCCTTGGGTGGAAAACCATTTGGAAACAGTACCACAACTAATTTTCTGTCTCCCCTGAACCTTGGTGATTTAGGCCGATTAAAATCAAAAGAACTCGAAAACCTCAAAAACAGAAGCCGCAGGAACAACGAAAGCAAATTTGAACGAAATAATGACAAACGTTTTGTTATTCTCCGAGCCTTTTGATCAATCGATTGTATGTTCCAACAGTCCCAAGATAAAAGCTAATGAGTCGAACCGCAATATTCCGGTCCTCGCCAGAACTGCCTGATAATTCTCGTGGATCGAACCCGGTCGCTCCCAAATGCTTCATCCTGCGCTGAGATGCGTAATAAGACTCGTTTGAATGAATAAAAACCAGAGAGTCGTTCTCCAATAATCAGTTTATTTTTATTTTATTTTTAAACCATTTGATGCCGAACCTGCCTTCCAAAGAATCGCCCATGTGTAAGGCGAAAGAGACGAACAATAACAAACACCGACGCCTCAGCGAAAAATTGAAGATGGAAAACTTTTCAGAGGATGGACGAAAGACAACGGAACAAGAATCTTTGGCAGGGGGATAATGAAGAGTCGGGCCAGCGGGCCAAGGGAAACAAAATATACTGCATATCCAGTATATATATCTTTAGTTAATATAATAAAAATTGGAAAAATAAAAAAGGCATGGAGCGGTGCACGAAGAGAAGTCGCGGTCCCCGCGGCAAGGAACTCATCACGCGGGCCCGAGTGCCGATCGCCGAGCCCCCTGCCTGGGCCCCGAAGAAGCGAAAATTCAGGCCTAAGGCTCTCATTACATCGTTGTAATAACTACTCCCATGGCCCGCTTATCCCCGACAAAAATTTCCCCGAACATCCCATCGCACGCCTGAAACCTTGCTCTTTCTCTCTCCATCTCGCAAACTGTTCCGAGTTTTTAGAAAAGAAAAATATACTTGAAAAATAATAAAATAAAACCTTGGGAGTCCTCTGGGCTTGGAAGAAGAAGAAAAAAAATATCCAGAGCGAGCAGAGAGGAATTTCCGCCGTGAAAACGGGGCATTCCCCGGGACAATGGGCCCAAAAGATATTGATAATCCGGAAATTACGTTTCCACAATGCCACCCGAGGTTTAAAGATTCCATGTACACGAATGGAACACGTTTCTCGCAGTTTCCTCGATCACAACATTATATATCATTGTTTCAAGATACAATACACATAGCAAGAAATGATTTTCTGCCTGGTATACTTTTCTCTTAGAAACAAACACTGAATATAGCTCGTCAAAGGAAATTTTGAAAAACATTGCCCGAATCATCAGCAAGACAGCAACAGAAGAAACTCCCATTCTTTCTCACCGCACAGCATGAATCAATCTCACGATTCCTTGATCAAAACATTTCAAGCAACTGTTTTAGGAACCTTGTTATAAAACTTTTTTGCAGCATTCAGGTTCTTATTCAACGCATTCGTTGATCAATCCGACTCTGTCGAAATTATCAATGTTAGATCTTCCGACGAGCATATTTTTTACTTGGTGGATTTTGTTTTTATGGGGAGAGGTTATTTCTCAAATTACATGCTCATTTTACATGACAGTCCGTCGAAAAGGTCAAAGCATTCAATGATCAATCAGCCCATCATCGAATCGAATAAAACAGCATTCGTAATGGAGTGATTCGATATACGGCTGGAAAACGGGCGGTAAATATCTGGGATTGAAATTGATTTCCGATCTAAATGAATTGAAAAAGGCGATAAAAAGTTTGATCGGCACAGACCCCATAATAAAACTTAAACAAAATAAATTAGCATTAAATCAGGATGAAAGCACAAGGGCTTTTTTGAGCCTCTTCACGGTAAAACAAAATATGTCCTCCAAATGAGGGCAAAAAATAATCTTCATTTGTTCAACCTTGTTGACGTCGTTGCAAACGTATTTTTTTTTACTATTTTCACCAAGTATTTTCAAAGGGTATTCGTTCGAGGCAGAAATTGAAAGACCTGCATTTTTCGCCGAAAAATTCAAAAGATGAGAACAAAGATTTGGAATCCCCAGATGAATGGTCTCCTACGTCACGCGCTCGGCAAAATGATCGCGTAGCATCTGGCAACCGTACAAGTATCAATACAAGAGATGGCGGAAAAACAGTTAATTGAAATAGTTCCTGGCTTCTTTCTTTTTTTCCACACACACACACATATATATATCCGCACATAAGGATACCCAAAAAAAAGACGAATTCATCCGTCATCCTCGTTTAAATTTCTGCGGTTTCTTTTCCCATGCAGCGGTATCTTCAAAAGACCGACGCACAGAATAGCTATAAATGTTGCCACCTACGAAGGAACATTGCACACGAGTTTGTCGAACAAAGGCGGTAAACTGTTGATAAGGCATCATGGGAAACCCACAAAAAAACCAACAGTTGACACTCCAACAGATTGTCATCAGAGCTGAAGGCACGTAATCGGACAAAACTAATGAAACCGAGACCCTTATTACCGGGTTTTCCCGCAGCTGAACAAAACGAGAAAAAAAAAAGAAACGGGAGAAGAAATACGCGGCTTTTTTCTAATTGCTTACGTAGTCTTTGAGTATAACGACCGACAATTCAACCAAAGCACGAACAACTCCGCCTTTCCGAAGACCAGATGTTCCTGAGGATAAATCAGCGAGTTTTCGCCAAGAACATACACCAGGGATTGATCCATAAGTTTTGGGACTCAAGAACATGAAATAAATACATATGTTCTTCAATACAACGTCGATTTCAAAACAAAATGAGAGATAGATAAAATGCGCATCATACTGAAGCGCATGCAAGATCAGATGATTTTTTTCTGGGTTAACAAATGAAACTGACAGAAAGTGCATTGAACAGATCTGACATGTCCCTACGTTCGGAGTCGACACGTTCAAAATTCTTCATAATTTGATAAAAATTCCCCGTTTATTCATCTCAATTATTCTCAAACCTTATGGGTCATTTCTGCGAAGTTCCATCTAAAGGACTGACGAATGTTGGAGGGTGAGTGTGTGATTCTTCTATACACACACACACACACAGACACAATTTGAATGAATATTCACAGCCTTTCTCCGCCTCACCCGTCAACTCGAATTGAGCTCAGCAAAGGTTTCAGAAAAAAAAGGTACTGGCGATCTTCCGACGGGGGCGGTGATGAATATGCTGATTGGCAACGCTGCTGACACGACTTTCGAACAGACTTCCGACAACTTCCGACAACACGGGGTCCTCTCCCGGGACAAAAACGTATAATGAAAAAAATAATAACCATCGCTGAACCGAAGGGAAGGGAAAACGGAGATACTCTAGTAAAAGAAGAAGAGAAAAAAAAAAGAGAGCAGACAACGAACGCGTTCACGGAGATCCCCGAAGGCGAACGACGGCGTGCGGCTCGCTCCTGGGCAGGCGGTCGATCTGGACAGCCATGAAAATATGATCGTAAAAATGAAGATCAGGGAATTCTGGAATTCGGTCGTACCCACGTCGTGCTCAGCCTCGCCTTCAGCTCTCTCTCTCTCTTCTTCGCAATAGTAAAACGAAGAGCGGAGAGAGAGAGAGAGGAGAAAAAAAAAAAGAAGAAAAAGCTTGGAGGAAACTTCTGATTTATCTCCTCCGCCGAAGCTTTTTTTTTTCCTGTTTCCTATATACCACTGCTGTTCCTAGACCCGAAGCATTTTATGTTTCAAGCGCGGAGGGCCGGATAATAAAGTTTGTTCCCTGCGGTTTTTATTTGGTCCAAACGCGAACTATCCCGGGAAAAGACGTCGCGACCGGCAACTGGCTCAGCAAATGCCGGAATCGATGAACCTGTAACTTTATACTTTTACTTTATTTTGTAAGAATATGCACAAGCTGAACCAAGAACTCGGTTAACGACTGGCTTTTACTCAGAAGTTTGTAAGACTGTACCAACAAACCTCCCGAAAATGCTTTTTCTTCAGACTTCAACGTGATTTGGGCCGACTCTCGACGCACACTGCAATATTCCACGGGATTAAAAAGATGTTTACTTTCATAGAGAAATCCCATTCTCTTAAACTTTTGTTAATTTTTTTAGGACCGGGAAAATCTAGCCTACGAAGGACATCGCCGAAGTTGAAATTGTTTGAGAGAATTTATCTGCATCTCTACAGGCAGCAGTTGTAACTAACTGTAAATGGTATTTTCGGTATAAGTTCGCTCATCCGAAAATCGAGCTAATCTAAAAAATAGGCTGATTTTTCATTCAAAAAATTGAACCGCATGGTTTGAGGAAATATTGAGACTGTTTCAATTTTGACAGAAAAATAAATGACTTCCATATTGACGAGGCAGTGCGAATTTTTCTGCAATACGCACATTCATGCAGCCAAATTCTTCGAAGGTTCCCAAGTTAGATTTTTTTGCTTGCATCGTTGAATTAAATCTGAAGTTGAAACCTTTCCTTTCGAATCAAATACTGCTGAATATTTTTAGATTCTATCAGAGTGAATTTAAAAAAAAATTGTTAGCATTTAATTTTTAAAAGAAACCCTTTCTCTATTAAAATAAATTTTATTCGATTCCGAAACGGGTGGAAGCGTAGGAATTTCCAACAATTCGCGGGCCAAGCGTGTGAAGCACGTTTTCGGGTTGTGTTGCCTGAGCATTTTGACCAGTGATTGCTGCTGATCAGAACCCCAGGGACGGAAGTTCCCACACACACGCACGTACACATTCGCAGGATTCCCCCAGCCGCATTCTGTCACAGCCTGCGGGTCCCAGCGTGATGCACAAAAGCTCAACTTCAGGGCCCCGAAATTCGACTCAGAATTCCAGAGCCATTCGGGGAAAACGTTTGCTTCCCTGCGGGAAAAAAAAAAAAAAAAACCTCGACGGGGATGCAAACGCATGTATACAGTAAAGGGAAATCAGAAAAAAAAATCAAAGGAAAAATTTTACAGAGGGGAAGAAGGGCAGCATACACAGCACCAAGGAAGAAGAGAAAATAAAAACAGGACAACTTGGGCAACAATCGACATGAATGGCGCTGATCTTTTCACGCGATCGTCGCCCCGGCGGAATTTTATCCGGATTTACGCGTTTTACGCGAGTTTTTCCATTTATTATTTTTTTCTCCCTTCTTCAACTTGGACCAGCGCACTTTAGTGCACGGATGTGTGAGGCAGAAAGAGAAGAAAATACCTAAAATATAAAAAACGAATCGAAAAGATCGCGCGACACATTCACGATTTGCACAATGAGGTATGCATAAACTGCTCGAACAACAAATCGCGGCAGGGGGAAAAATGTTAAATGGAAACTCTCCCACGATTCCATTCCGGAATTCCGCGCATATTTCTGCCCAAACAGCCAGTTTCTATTTTCTTTCCTCCCTCCATAGAAATGATCATCCCCGCAACTCCCAGAAATTGCCGCTCTAATTTATTATCATCCGGGTGAAAATCTCGCCATCGGATTGAAAATGTTCCACGCCTCGTTCCGATAGATAAGAACACTGCCTTCACGCCGAGCTCACGACCATTCACGTCAATGACCAGGCCGGTGGAAAGGCCAAAATTACGGATGACGAATCGACTGACCATAGCACGAGTCACAAGCCAAAGACACCAACAACAAAAAAAGCTTTAAAAAATAACAGACCGCGCGAACGAATCCAGTGGTTCACCCAATAACCAAAAACAACAGCGGCTTTCAACCCCTACAAAAAATATAATAAAAATTAGAAAAAAAATACCCAACCAAGCACACAGGTAAACAAAAGGAAAGGCGACGAAGGTTCACTCAAAACCGCAAGTTGCTCTTGTCGCCAGCCGCTCGTGCGCAACAACGAATGGAGACATTGTTTGATTGATTCTTCGTGCGCATCCATGTATGAACACGTCGCTGTCGTGAAACTCGTAATAAAAAAATAAAAAAAAGTGACAGACACAAAGCGACGGGGAACAATCCTTTACGAGGTAGGGGAAGATACCGTATTTACTTTATTGCATCAGCATAAAATATTCGATAGCCAGGATTAACCCAAGGAAATTCTGCCCCAAGAAATTGTCAATTTTTTGCTGCTGCTGTGTACGCGATATTTTTCCGTCATACTTTCCGACTTTTGAGGAAATAGTTTTCAAGGATTTTGCAACTCCTTGGAGACACAAGCTGTACAACTATCATGAAATGGCTTTTTGTACTGCTATGCATGGGTCTAATTTTTCCTTCAGAAATTTCATTTTACTTTCTATATACAGCAGGAAAAAACTGCTTATTTCTCGAAAGAATTTCTTTTATTTTTTTGCTTCCATATAAACTCCAAAAAAGGTGATTCTGAAGGAAAATGAGGTCCATGTAGCAGTATCAAAAACTAACGATGCCCTGGTGGACTTTCATTACTCACATAGATGCTAATCTTGACTTGAATCCGGATTTCTCGTCCAGGATTTTCATTTTTTCGGGCCAATGCGTGTATTTTCTTTGCATTCAAGCCACCTTCCCAAATCAAGTTGTGATGAATGTGGAATCGCACGAATAGCCCTTAGACAGCCCCATTTGTATTTTATTTTCTTGTTTTCATTTTTAGGCGATAACGGATGACACATAAAAGTCTTCCAATCGACGTGGTGATTACAAGACACCAGGCAGTGAGACACACAAGAAGAGAATGAACACACAATAAGGGCAACAAACAAACAAACAAAAAATGAGAAGACGCAACAGAGGGAGAACGAGAGTGAGAGAGAAGTCTGGAAGACGGTGGAGTGAAAACAGGGACCACATTCCGGATTGCGTCGCGATGCATCCAAATATTTGCCCCCGACTGCAAATGAGCCGAGTGCACGTTGTTTACTCACCTTTTAATTATTCCCCCCTCGACGGGAATCCGCGTCAGCTGACGTGCCTGTTCACCACCGCGGCAACTCGGACATGAAGAATGTTCACCCCGGCTATTTACGACATCCATTTCACCTGCGCCGCCGTTGCGGAGTACTGCACTATACTCGGAACCATCCCAACAACTCGCCCCGCGGCTGATGGGATGAGTGCGATAATGGATTTATGAAAGAGGTAAAACAAAAGCTTACAGCGAGAGAGAGAGATAGAGAGAGGATGAAAAAAAAAAGAGAACAGTGGCTAAAGCGCCGAGAATGGCACTCGTGTCATCCCGACGTGGGGCTTTGACAGGGCCTGTCACGCGAACTAACAAACCGTCGACGACACTCGGACACGGGAGTATTTCGAGCGGCCACTTCAAACACACGGGTTTTTGATTCGCGGTCGTGGGTTCGACTTTGCTTTTAATCCCGCAACTTCAGCTCGTTTTTTTTCTTCAGAATATTGCCGAAAAAGTAACATATTCGTTCGAAGTACAGTAAACGATGCCATAGGTTACGAGAAAGGGGACCTGGTTTTCATGCCTGAATAATTTCAACAATTCTGGTGGCGAGTCGATAAGACCCGCTCAATTGTTGGTTACAGTCATGCTTCAGTTACCAACTCAACAGTCTAACTTCTAACACTTCTAAAGCCGGATTCTGAACCGCGTACATTTTAAACTAAAAGTAGTAAGGAATTAGATTTATTAAATTTCAGGCCATTTGTACTTGATGCAAGTGTCTTACTTTGTCCAGTCACGATGTAGCACTTCTTCAATTTATTATAAAAGGGAACACAGGTTGAATATTCGGGAACAAAGGTTGAATACAAAACTCTGAGCTAGGGTTCATTTCGAGTGTAGTTCTTACTGTTAAACGAGAATATTCATGTCTTCGGAATTCAATAATACGTGTTGAAAGTTTTGGCGGTCGGAATGTGTTTTGTGAAATTTTTAAGTCAGCTCGATGGCATTTAAATTGAAAAAATTTAGAGACCGTGATTAAATGAACCCGAATTTACAGGTATCATTCGTTATCATTATGGGAATTTCATTTTTTTCTGAATTAAATCTCCCAAAAAAATTATCCGCGCTTATTTTTTTGTGAAAAAAAAGGAATCAATGACTAGGTTTTTGCTTTCAGAAAAACAGGGTTCAGTACAATGATTCATTCCGGGTCATAGAATCACGAAGAATGTCACAGACCATTTGCTATCAGGTTTCCTACAGTTTCATTATTATGCGCATCAGTTTATTTTGACATACATTTCAAGAACGAATTTCAGACTCAGGCTATTAAAAGTAGTAACAGCTCTCTTTTCAAATTGAAGCCACCTAATGAGCGGGTTCCCGAATTTAATTACATCAAAACACGGTCACAATGAAGATGTGCGTCCACGATAGCCGAACATGAATCATTTTCATTACGACGGAAGTTACGCACCACCAGACAAGGAATTCGACGCAGAAACTAATTAGTATTTCTGAACTCCGCGTATAGAAGGGATAATACAAAATATTTATCGTTATTTTCCTTGGGTTACACCACAAATCAAAATAGATCATTTCATACCAAAATATTCGATCGAAGGACGAGACAAATTTGCGCGCTGGAAAACGGGTTTCAATCACTGGAATCCAGAAACGAAGCTCAAGAGTCAAGACATACTTAACTGACAGGCACACCATTAATTAAAGTCAAATTAAAAACTCTCATTAAAACTTCATTTGCATATTTGAAGAAGCGCTTGATGCCGAGCAACAGATAATGATTGTATAAAAATGGTGCTTCTTTTCAGGCCATGGTTACTTTCTCGCACACCTGGCCTTCACCGAAGTAATCTTGAGTAACGTGATCTAACCCGATTTCGGACCACCAAGCAGAACCTCACAAACCGAATTCAATCCGATCAGATGAAAACTAACAGAGCATAATTCAAAGTGATTTTATGTCAACTAACCATTTTTCTTGTCAGTTCAACGAAAAATCATCTTATTCGACGCCATTAATACCCCGGATAATGAGCTTCTTGTGTAATTCATTTCAAATCATCGAGATTTTTCTACCCCGAAATTTTGTTTCAAATAGTGGACACTCCCTACGAAGGTTATTTTTTCAACTTTTTCATGCGTGGGGTCGTTTTTAAAATAAACCACATGTTGTCTGGGGCTAGGCGAATTTGTCCTCTCAACCAAAAATTGTTTTCGCTATTCAGGGACCCACAATGCTCGAAGAATTTCAACATAAATCCCTGCGAAAATTCAGGCAAAAATAAAGAATGTGGGCAATGGGAGGACACAGAAAAATAACTCAAAAAAAAAAAAGATGAGATCGGCAGCCGAAAGGAAGCGTCATCACTATCTAATGCAAAACAATGGTTTCATTCCCCGGTTCATTCATCGGTGTACGAAAAAGGAGGGGGGGGGGTTTAGGGTGTGTAAAATCTCTGGCTAAGGAAGTCAGCCTGTAATCCGAGACGTCAAAAACAGGATGTATTGGACCGACCGCTGCTCTAGCAAGAGTGCAAGCAAAGCTGGGAGAACTGACCCATACACACACACACGAATAAGTGAGTGAGTGAGTGAGTGAGTGAGGAAAAAAAGAGAAGAAAATTCTTGTACGGCCAACGGGGAAAGCGCGGCGCCGTGTTTTACAGGCAAACTGGTGCGTGCCTGACGAGATGGACGAGTACTCCGTAATTTCCTTGACTATTCCGCCTGACTGATGGCCGAACCGAGTCCCGCAGTACCCTGCTATCGTCGGCACCCGACGACGCTAATGAATTTACGGACGGGAAACGATGTTTGAGCGGCGGCCCGGGCCCCCCTCTTCTTTTCGCGACTCCCACCCACCCACCGGATCTTAATGACACGTGATCGCTACTTCTTCATCCCCCCCGTTCGGTACCCCACACCACTCGAGGGCATCAAGTCGGGTCATCATTCATTCGCCTAAACTCTTCCGATCCCGATGAATCTTGAATGCCATTGTCTCGGGGAATGCTGGCTGCCCGCATCAAACCGACGCCGCCGCGGCTTCATTTGCATCCCGCCGAGGGACAACCCATCAAGGTCAAGTGGCTCTTCGAACCCGAACATCTTCTCGATCACCCGCAATTTCATGAAGACGAAACATTCAATTACGCCAGGACACGAACGTAAGAAGAATAAGCAGTTGAGCGCAGATAGAAACGCTTCAGTCGTAATTTCAAAGCGGTGGAAGAGCACAGCAGCGGAAATTCGGAGAAAATCTTCAACGTCGCTAATTTTCAGCATAGAAAGAATTTACTTTTCTGATCGTTCAACAGCTTCCTTCCATTAATTTACGAGCAGCTTCCATACTCTGTGCAATCGCATTTTACAAGGGGGTTTACGAGAACCACAATAAATATTTTCTGCATTTATGAAACATCGGTCTGCGAACGTATGTTTCCAACTCTCGCTACTAAATAACGTGCTCGCCAACTAAAGCTGTTGTTTCTCATAAAATGAAATAAAACCCAGCCCGGTCGCCGGGGCCGATGTAAATTTGTAAAATGATCGCGGAGTATGGATGGGGCGAGGAATGAAATGGGCTCGGCTGAAGGCCCCTGGGATGCCCAGCTAAGGGGCGAGTATAGTGAGAGAATGAGAGAGGAAAAAGATACACGAGAAGGGAATATGAGAAGGAAATGAGAAGAAAAAAGCGATGGACGGAGGTGCGTTTGAGGAAGAAGCAGAGCACTCACTGGCGGAAAAGGAATTACACCAGTTGGTTCATCCGTTCGCTGGTACCTTCGTTCGTTGGATTTCGCTGCTCCGGGACCTTTCGACCCCTGGAGGATTGCGTGCCGGCCTTTTTTTTTGGGTTCCTTTTTTTTGTATATATACTGTATATATTTTTCTACGGGCGCTTCGCCTGCGCGGAAGGTCGATTTCCCACCGCTCTTGTATCATGACCGAACGAGACCGCGGAAGAGAATTAGATGAGCGCACAGGACACAAAGACGAAGAATAAGAGATGATCCGCAAGTGAACACGGACCAAGAACCAAAAACAGAATAAACAAGGATTCGAAGAAATGAAAACAAAACAAACATTCGGAACGAATGCAAACCCGAAAAAGATCGTGAATGACGTTTGTGGTGAAGTGTCACGCTTATTCCCATTTGAACTGCTTCTCAGATCTTGGACATCGTCGATTTTAAGACGCAAATCTTCCGTTTTTTTTTTCACCGGAACAGCGGAAAAAATTTTCACATAATGTAAGATGCACTTTTATTGCGCAAATTTGTTTCCGGATAAACTTTTTTTGTTTGAGAAACCGGCCAAATTGTCTTCGAACGCATCCAAGATAAATTTCGTTACACAAACTCTTGCATGCTTGTAATGAATATATTTCCTTTTCGTCACGTTTTGTATTTCAGACTTAATTATTCGAAGGGTTGTGTTTGTCGGAACTCGGACGTGATCAAAAACTTCACTGAAAATATAAAACGACATCAAATATTTGACGCGGCGCCCCAATTTTGTGGAAAAAAATTTGCGAAGGGCGAGTCTTACATTTCGAGGTAATAAAGAACAGTGTGTTAATTTAAAACTAGTGCACAGTAAAAACAAATGGGAGGAATAGATAGGAAATCGTCTGTAACAGGGGATTGGTAATAATCCAGCAAAATTTTCCAGTCAGAAGCTGGTCTGAAGGTCCTATGAACTCCGAAATTCGGTCCTGACGAGTAATCATAAACTCCGATTTTCCTTCTGCACAGGGAAAAATACTCGGGTGTGATGTTTTCCCTTGGGCAGGATTATCATGATGCTTGATTCCCAATTATCATTCTCCCCCCTTTTTTATGGTTGCCAACATTTGTTCATTTGCCCTTTTTCAACAATGTTGTATGAATATACATGTGAGTGTGTGTGTGGGGTGGGGTGGGTAGAAAGGAATATGCAATGGGGAAAGAGAATAATTGGAGCTTTTCCGCACAACGATTGCTTCTCTGCGGCTTTTCGTGCCTGAAGCCATCGAGTAACTTTTTTCTGTTGTTGCTTCTAATTCATCTCTTGCATTTGAGCTTGCGAGCATTTTATGCTTCCTGTGCCTCTCGGCCCCCACAGATTTTGCGTGGGAAACTGGGGCCCGAATAATTTCATCACAAGGAATTAATGTATTGTTGCCCAAGAAATTTACTGTTTTGTTCTTGATCATTACCGATGTGCGGCCCATGCCAACTGAATTTTTTTGGCCCGCAGAAAACATTTGAAATTTTGATGTAGGGGGGAAGGGGCGTTCGTAATGTGCGCGTGAAATAACGAATTCCGTTCGGGAAATATCTTGAAATTGTCAATACAGTACCGTAATACTGTT